GATCATGCAAACATACCAAAGCTTTTGCACAGCTTTTGCCAGGAATGATGCTTTCCAAGGCAAACCAACAGAAAATAGAGCTTGTACCTCAAAGGGGACATGTTAACAAAACAGAACTTCTTACAGCCACAGCTTCATCATCACCAGGAGAAGACAAACACCTTCAGGACAAAGAAACAAAGCATGCAGCTTGCCGAAGGTTCCCCCCACCCCACCCCACCCCACCCCGACTCACAGGTTCCCTCAGGCCTTCCATGCCTGCCTCTACCAGCATCTCCAGTGATGGCAGATGGGCGCATGAACTGAGCATGGAACGAAACAGCGGCGTTCAGTCCAGAAACATCATCAACACAGAAGGCAATAGTTATCGCTAAGACAAGATTTCACCCCAACAGAAAACATGAAGAACCAGAGAAGACTAATACTTATTTGTGCCACGTATTTTGATAGTGTATTGGGACTGTAACAACTCAGGACTGATCTGGAGAGAGGGGAAAGGGAATACTTTCGTAACTAGATGTGGGGGGAAAGCCACTTTTGAGTGGATGGAGCAGCTTTGCCTGGAAAGCTGTGCTGAAGAAAGTTTGAAGCTCACTTTCTTCCCATTGCCGTGGAAGCTCTGCCCATCCCAGGGCCCCGACCTCTGACTTCATTGCAGGAGGAGAACTGCAGTAATTTTGTAATCTCCAAGGTCAAACAGGTGTTTGGAAGGGATGGGAGAAGAAACCCAAATGTGGTTCCTCTCTTCTTTTTGCTTTGCAAAACAGGTCCCAAGGAAAGCCTTTCTCAAGCATCTCAGTTTGTTTCAACACAATCCTGAGGTAACCTTGTCTTCTTTGTGCAAACCTCAAAAAATGGAGGGGGGGAAGATCTTCATGGAGGTGATTGTGCCCTTGTGCCCATGGCAGATCCTGAGGTTGGCCCGGATTGTTCTCCAGCTCTCATTCCAACATGGCATCTAGCTGGTCAGCAAGGTCATCAAACATGCTGCCGATGTCGTCCAGGATGCTGACAGTGCTCTTGGACTCTGCAGTTGAACTGAAGGCAAGAGAGATCAGTGAGGTTAATCAGATCCCCATTCCTCTACAAAACATTTGCCTTATCACAGCTTCCTAGTTCCTCTATCCTTCAGTTAATTAAATCTGAGCACACATAACAGCAGTAATCTCACACTGCCTTTCTCCTGTTTTCTTCTCATTCGCTTTTTTTACTAAATGCTTCCTTTGTTCCTGAGAGTGCACCATCCATTTAAGGCATTAAATGGTGCACCCGCCCAGTGGTGGAGAACCAACAATGGCTCCTCCATCCAGCCTCTCTGGTCTCCTGGACTTTGTGCACACGTTCTGGCACAACAGACTTTGGTCCTTCCCATCCCCTTCCCAACCACAGGAATGCCTTACTCTGCTGCTTGTCCATCCTCCTGCTTGATCTTCTCCTCCACAGCTTGCAGGGCAGCAGCCAGAGAAGCGCTGGTCTCCTCCAGCTTCTGATGCACACTCTCGGTGCTCTCCACTGAGGGCCCAGCCATGGAGGAGCGAGGTGGCTTGACTGGCACTGTCTGAGGAGGCAGCCCTCCAGGAGACAAAGGCTTCGCTGGGCTGGAACAGAGGGAAGGCGGTGTGCTGGAAGGCTTGATGGTAGGGGCGAGCTGCTTGGCAGGTGATGGAGCTGGTGTGGAGCTGGCACTCACTGACTGGAGGACAGGGTGGACCTTAGGCTTGGGAGCAGTTGGGGGGGGTGTCGGCTTCGGAGATGTGGGTGGTGGGGTCCCATGGACACGCTTCACCTCTGCAAGAGAGAGAAACAGGTCACGCCGTGGCCTCCGTTAGAGGAAGCAGCTGTCACATGGAGATTCTGCCTGGCAGAGCGGCTTCTAGACTTCTCCTCCTCCTATCGTTAGCAAGTCAGCCCAGCTGCCGCTGTCTGAGGAAATAGACCCAGTTTATCATCAGTTCAGAAAAGATGATAAAGAGAAGGGTGCCCCCTCCCATTCAGCAACTAGGAAATATTAACACACAAGCTTGCGGTTTCAGGCACACAACTCCACTCTCCAACCTGCTCCCTGGAGTGTCCCTGCGCACACAATCTCCCATGCGCTGCCCAACGTTACTTTGTGAGCACCTTGGTAAGTGCCTAGATGCATGTATGGATAAAAAAGCCCCCTGGCAACCCTCGGAGCCCACGGAAGCAGCTGCGAATGTCTGTGGAAGGGTGAGCTTGTGCAGGAGGCAATAAGGCCCCCTTTTTAAAAACAAGCCTGTGGGGTTTCCCCGGGAAGATGCCTTTACCTGGACTGCCTGGGCCAGGAATCGGGGCCCTTTTGGATGTGGGCGTGGAAGGCCCAGAGGCTTTGGGCGGCAAGATGGGCTTGGGGGAAACAGGTGGCTTGACCGGCTTCTTGGGTTCCCCTTCCCGGGGGAGCTGCGCTGAAGCCCCTTCCCCTCTCTCCTGCTGTTCCGCTGGGGCCACGGCCTCCAGGCTGCTCATCTCGGAGGTCGGCCGGCGTTTGACTGTGGCCATGCCGTTGTGGTAGACCGAGAGCGGGGCCGGCTCCTGCTCCTTGTCTTTTGACTTCGGCCGCCTCTTCACTGTATCGGATTCCGTGAGAATGAACTTGATGCTGTCCTGCTGGCACTGCTTTGCCCGGATCCTCCTCTTGAGAGTGGCGCTGGCCTCCACTTTGGAAAGGTCGCCGTGCCGATGGACAAGTGGCAAACCCTCCCCGCCTTCAGCTTTAGCGAGGCTCATCTGCCGAGGACGCTGCTTGATAGTCAGGCTGCCTTCTTCGGCAAAAGGAATATTTTCACCCAAGCCGTTCTGCGGGGAGCTCCCGCTGTGTTCTGCCCGCAGCCGTTCCATGGGGCCGCCATCTTTGGGCGTGTCAGACTTGATGCTGTCCGAGCGTTCACGGCGAGCGGCTGCCACGAGCCCAGTAACGGGGCCGCTGATGGTGCGTCGGCGGTTCACCACCTCTCCGTCTGGCCCAATGGCGTCTTTGTGCTTGGCGGTGGCCAGAACGGTCGCAACTCGAGAGTGTTCCGGACTGGCTGAGCGCACAGCAACACCAGGCTGCAAGTAGTGCCCGTCGGCCACCAGCCCAGCTCCAGGCAGCTTTTGCATGGCAAGAGCCCGGCCCCCCCCGCCAATAGATGACATTTCCAGCATGGCAGCAATGCTCTTGACGCTCCCGGCACTGCCTGTCTCCACAGTGCCCCCATCGCTAGCCTGCTTCTGGGCCAGCTCCTCCCCTTCCTCTCCGTCTTTGCCAAAATCGTCCGTCATGTTGCTGCTGGAGATGGCCGAACTGGAGCGCTTGGGTGGGGGGGGCGGAGGGCCCTTCTTCTTTGGCCGCACCGCGAAGGACTGGCTGCGGTTCACGTTCTTGTCAGCACCCGACTGTGCCCGGACGGAGTGGCTGCGTCCCACTCGCCGCTGCACGGTGGCGTAGGGCCCGGCGTCCGGCACCAGGAGCTCGTCCCGCTCCTGCTCGCTGTCGGACATTGCATAGCGATTCAGGCTGTGGGCCCTCTTCTTAGGCCGGCCCGCCTCCTCTTCGCCCTCCGCAGCCTGGGGCGGCAGGCACAGCACCGGGATGGAGATGGGCAGGACCGGCACGGCTTGAGCCAAGGGGCCGGCGGCCTGAGCCTCCCCCTCCACGGGCTGCGGCAGAACATACGCGAAGCCACGGTGCGTCGGAGACTGGGGCAGCGAGCGAGGAGACATGGGGCGGTCCGTCTGCGGCAGCAGCTGCGGCGTGGGTTTTACTTTGGCCGTGGCATGGGGTGCCCCGAAAGCCTGGGGAGAGGATGGGCGGGGCTTGGTGGGGGTTTGCGGAGGGGTGTAGTGGCCTGCAGCTGGAGGGAACGACTGCCGGGGTTTGCCAGGCACCGGGGGGACGCTTGCCCTCTTGATGCTGTGGCCGTGTCGGAGCCCCCGCACCTCCTTGGGCAGGGTGGCCGGAGCCTCCTTCCCCTCCTCTGCCAGGAACTCCTGGCTTTTGGATACGGCCGCGCCAGGCGTTTTAGGTCCATCTCCCAGCAGCTCCTGGGAACTACTGATCAGCTTAGCTCTTCCGCTCAGACTGTTCTCGTGGGCGAGGCGGGAGGAGGGCCGGTAAACGGCCCCGTCCCGGAAGTGCGTGACGTGGTTGGGCTGCTTCTCGGGGCTCTCTTCGCTGCTGCCTGTCATGGCTACCTGCAGCTCATTGCTCAGCTCGCTGTCCTGGAAAGTGGACATCTTGGGAGACTGGCACTCAGCTGTTTCCTGCTGAGGAGACTCTATGGCCATCGTGTCCTGTGCCTGGGGTGCACTCTTCTTCTTCAGCGTCCCTGATTCATACTTGATGTATTCAGCTTTCTGGATCTCCGCCAACTTCTTCACGGCTAACATCAGCTTCTTCTGGTGGCCTGAGCAGACACGAGAGACCAAAACTGGTTAAAAGTCTAGGACTGTCTTTACAAAGAAATCTCCAAACCAGTACAGTTGTGTCTCAGTAGGTCTACCGAAGATCTTAGTTCAGCCACTTCAACTGGAGTTTTTGCTCCCAGGAAAAAAAAAAAATCAAGATTTCAGCTTAGTACCAGCAGCCCTGAACTGGAGTTGGCCTCATCTTGTCCTGCTAGAGCCCCCACTTTTCCAGAATCCTATTTTTCCTGCTCCTTATTGTTCAATACATACCAGACAGGCTTTTTTCTTGGATGGCCAACTTATACCCAACCTTGCCCAATTTCAGTTGTTTCAGTGCCTATAACTACACCTCTCCTCTGGCATTTGGATTAGACATGGGGAATATAGCCACCCCCACCCCCAGCTTCTTCCTCCCCTCCGTGGTTCAGTATTTGTACCTCTTCCAATGTTTGGAAGAGCCCTAAGGAATTTGCTGATTCCTAAAGATCAGCACTCTGTCTTTAAGGATGCAGAAGTCTTCATCAGCCTTCCTTCCCCCTAAGACAGTTGACTTTTCTTTTTAAAAAATTCAGTCATTCAAATGGCTCTGTGGCACTTGGAGGAACTTCAACAAATGACTTTTCCCGTTGTTTAGGTCATCAGTGATCAGCATGTGGGAGTTAGTTAACTGGCAGAAAGGCTGCCTCATTTGAACAAATATATTAAATTGCATATCCCTGCCATTTGGAGAACAAACTCTTCCATAACTGCCCCTTCCAAGCTGATCTCCTCCTTCTCCCAACAAAAACCAGGTTCATTGCCAAGGTATTTGAACCACAGTCACAATATGGGCTGGGGTTTCCCTACCTGGCACCGTCCAGAATGCTAGAAGTTGGAGCTTCAAGACATCCTGAAGGCACCAGGTTGGAGAAAGCTGAAGCAGACTGAAATACCTTATTCTGCCTTCCATCTTACTAGGAACCCAAACCCGCCATCCATGCATAGACGTACACAGGGACCATGATTAAGTTTCTCGTTGAGAATGGAGTTATGTCCACCCTCCCCTCACCCAGTTTGGTGATGCCAATCTCCTGCAGATCCTCCCAAGTGATATCAGTGATAAAATCGATGTTCTCGTAGCCATTTTCCACCAGGACTTTGTAATATTGTGCCAGACCAATCATGGATAGCCAGAGAGCCAGGTTTGCCTGGGTGGGACAGATGATATAATAAGCCAGTTAACAGAGCAAGAGGTTGGAGCCCCAAGAACCCCACCCCCATTTGTGTCCATATACCACCCCCAACTCTAAATAGCCATTTTGGGGTAAGTGAACTCTTGGTGCCAAATCAATGCCTTACATGTTTTCTGTGTAGTTCCTCCATATTTTTTCCACATAAAACTCACATAATTGGAAAAGTCTCGGAGGAACTTTGCTAATCTACAATGGATAGAATAGCATTTCAGTGCTGTTTTAATTAAGGGGAAGAGGCCAGAAATTTCCCCATAATTAAAACAGCATTGAAATGCTATTCTATCCATTGTAGATTAGCAAAGTTCCTCCGAGACTTTTCAAATTACGTGTGTTTAATTAAAAGCCTTCTGCTGGACTCTGCTAGCCTGTTTATTGCTTTCTGTCAACCAGGAGAGGAAGAATCCTTGCATTTCATTCTTGAGCAACTCTCTTACTGCCAGGTTCTTTTTCAGGAAAAAGAATTTAATTTTTGGTTTCTCCTCATATTTAGAGGAAGACAGTCCTATGGCACTCGGAAAGAAAAGGAAAGGAAAGAATGGGCAATTAAAGCCTCTCCCCTACAACGGGATCAAGGAACTTAAATGAGTTCTAAGTACTTCTCTGGGAAGGTCGCACTGCAATAAACAGGAGGCAATCCAAGGCCAACTTGTAAATTGTATTTGCAGGGTTCTTCGCCAGACGAGTTATCCGTACAGAATTCTAGCAATAAAGGGAAGTCTGAATAATAACGTTGCCTCTCCCTTTATAGAACCACAGCTTGAATTCTGCTTTCAGCTGATTTGCAGAAAAGCAAAAACTCTGGAGTGCTTCAGAGACTACTCCAGGAACAGATACGAAGGTGTGCAAGTCACCAGCAGACCGACAGCTAAGTATGCTGCTGACATGCTCTGGACTTTCTGAACAATTTAGGCTAGGGCTGACCACCTCAGGTAATACACCTGGTCTACTGGTTTCCGAGCTTCCCCAGACCCCAAATGCAGGAAGACAAGGCAACTCACTGGCTTGTATTCTGGGAGCCACTCAGAAATGTTCAGGTTGTTGATCTCGGAGGCAATCTTCTTTCGGTGTCCTGGCTTGGTAACCCCAATGGCTGTCAAGTCCTAAACCAAAAAGAATGGCTGCATCATCTGGGTGCCACAGAGCAGCACACAGAATTGAAAACCCAAAAGCTGCTGGAGCTAGGAATGGCGGGTCAAGACACTGAGTCTTCGTCAAAACGTGAAGGTCCAACCACACGGAGGACAAACCTGCAGCCTCATTTCATACACGCAGGAAGGCAAAGTCAAGCTCGCCTTCTGGGGACTTCAATTATGTTTCCCAGGCAGTGGTGCAGGAGGACTCGGCCGCGGTCTTTCCAAGATGCTTGTTGGCTCCCCAGCCTACCCAACCACGCGATGTCTAGATCTCACAGCCCTTCGTTAACACTGGAAAAGCCACACTTCCATGCTTCTGGTCTTGTTGCCTGAGGAATGTCCTTATCCTTCACGGCCTTGTCCACATTTGTCACTGCCTCCTGACTTAGGATTAAACTCCTGTTTTCTTCTCCAGACTTCTGACCCTCTTGACTCTTGGCCAGCAAGCTGATTGAATACACCTTTGATGCTAACCCAGATTTTTCACTTTCCATTTTTGTTGTAAAAAGGACCTTTTCCGAGCCTTCCTTGCTTTCAGCCTAACAACATGTTTTATTTACCTCTCTCAGAACATTAGTGCTTCACCTTCATGACCTCTTTAAGTCTATTATTCTTACAATATCTTCATCATGGTTTAGCCCAGGGTTCCTCAACCTCAGCAATTTTAAGATGGGTGGACTAATGCTGGCTGGGGAATTCTGGGAGTTGAAGTCCACCCATCTTAAAGTTGCTGAGGTTGAGGAACCATGGTTTAGCCTGTGGCCCTGGAATTCCATGACAGTCTTCCATCCAAATTCCAACCAGACCTGGTCCTCCTCAGATTCCTCACACAACCTCAGAGAGGTGTTGCCGTCGTGGGGCCTCTCTCTTGCCTTTCATTTCAGGGTGTGGGCCGCCCACCTGCTCTCTCACCTATCCGTCCGTGCATATTATCACGGTTATTTGCAGGAGCACCACTTGAGGTGATGGCTTCTAGCTGACCTTGCTTGGTCTTGAGAAAGTGAAGAAGGGTGAAATCCAGATGGGGGGGCCACCAGGCAGTTCCAGAACTACCAGCTAGGGTGGGGCATCAAAAACATCCCCAAAAAGGCAGCAGGGATGAAACACTTTCATCTTATTGCCAAGAAAGCTGCCTGGACGGGTCTTGCCAATCACCAGGAATCAAGCCAGACTCAAGGGAGGATGGCTCATGTTCTGTTTCAATGTCCTTTTAAATTAAAAAATGACCTCTTCAGTTCACTTTGGAGAGGCGCACAAGAAAGGAGATGAACTTTCTTACAATCATAACAATACCTGCAAACTATAATGAGCACCTGTCCTCTTTGTTCCTACAGTTCCAGTGACAGGTATAGGAGTGGCTGCAGGGCAAGTCAAAAAAGTCCAGGTGGTGGCGTCATACATTAAAACCAGGCAGAGTTTTGATTGTGCCGCTCTGGCCAAACATCTTGACTTTTTTTTTTACCCATACCTTGCAGACACCTGTGGATAGGAGGCCAGCGTCCTTTTTCTCCCAAGCAAATGATTTTAAAAAAGGCTCAGAAGAATAAAGAGCGCCCGAAGAACTGCTGTGATCTGCTCCAATTTAATTCCTTGCCATCACTTCATGTCGGAGTGCCTGGGCCACCCTGGGGTAGGCAAAGCTGCTTTGTGCCCAACTGATGGCTGCTCCCTGAGTTCCAGTGAGCGTGGAGGGGTCCTGTGGTGGTGCCCAGGACTGACCCTTCCCCAGGCAGCACGGGGCTTGACTACTGACCTACAGAGCCCCCCCACCCAGGTGGTTGCTGGCCACAGTCAACACATTTATTTGAATTGCATTAGCTTTGCTTTTTTAAAATTCTCACTTCTAGTTTTCAGAAAATGAATAGAACGGTTATTTTAAAGATTGTCAGGATGTTCCCCCCACTCCACCACCCCCTTGCTGTGCTGTGCAGCCAGCTCCTTAGTCCTCCCTCCCTCCCATTCTCAGCAGGATCCCTTACCTCTGGGGTCATCCGGCTGATGGTGGGGATGTCGTAACCAGCATTGATGAAGTTGGAGGCGTAGAGCTGCAGCTGAAACTTGTACAGCCACTGGTAGACGGCCTCTGAGCTCTGGGTGGGAAGGCGGGGGGGGGGGCACAAGCAGTTATTTATAGAAATTACATCTCTTTAAAAACTCAGAATCACCTGCCCTGAATGCCTAACAGCGAGTTTTAACAACAGCAGTTTTTATTTTTTCCTATCTTTAATGATGTTCGTTGTCTGCCTTCCAGCCTCGTCACCAAGATCCCCATCCCTGTTTTTGGGTCTCGCTCTACCTGCAGGATCTGCCTCCTTGCAAGAAAGCAACCTGTTCCTAACCTGCAGTTTCCTTCCTTTTCCTCCCCCCCCACCATGTTTAAATATTTAGCCTGATGAAGGGTTTTAATAAACCTCAAATTGCAGCCATTAAAAAAAAGATGGGCCTCATAAATGGAATTGCGTCCTACAGCTGAGCCTTCATTGCCAGCTCTGTCCTTTCAGCAGCGCCCTGAAGGTCTCCATAAGAAGAGAGCAGAGCAGCAAGCAAAGGCAGGAGCCTTCCCCCATCCCCTCAGGGCAGGGAGGGCAGCCTTGTCCCTCTTGGGGAGGGGAAGACAGAGCCAAAGGAAGGGCTGCCCCCTGGATGCGGCCAGCCCCAAAGCCCTACAGAGAACACCGAACTCTGCATGGCTCTTGGGTGCTCATCCGAATTTTTGCAGCCCAGATATGGTATCCTTAACTAAGCTCTCCCTATATACACTCCTTTGTGGTATATTGGGACAGTCCAGGAGTCCATTTTTACACACAAGGGCTGCAAACTCAGTTCCAAGGCAGAACCGAGGCTTGATCTGAGCCACATGCTCACGGGCATCCTGTCTCTGAACTCCACCAGGCCAAGTGCTTGCTGGCTCAGTCATTCCTCCAGGCTTTATTTGGAATTCCAAAGCGAGTGAGACTTTGGGGGGTGGGGAGAATAAGGAATGAAACCGGTGCTTTAAATACCTGCAAGCTGTTTAGACACTCCTCTGTCCCTTAAAACTGTCCCACCCTCTCCTATAAATCCAAGAAAAGGGTTACAGTTGGAGGGCCCAGAAGGGACTCAACAGGCTGCCCAGGGCCCCCCAGGCCATGCTTGGTCCAGCTCTGTCCCATGCGTGCCCCTGCTGCGCCATCAACTTCAGAAGCTGCTCAGGCATTGCCCAAACTTGCCTTTCCCTCGGACTGCGGCTCCACCTTCTTGACCTGCTGCTCGCCATACGGCTGGCTGGGGTATGACGCGCTGCCCAATCCTGGGGTCCGTGAAGAACCTGTCACAAAGCGGGCAGCAATTTTTAGTGCGGCAGAAAGTTAGAGGGAGCGTCAAGGGTGGGCAGCCCCTGTGGGCAGATTCCCTGGCAGGACCAGATGGCCAGCCACAGGACATTAGGAGACAGTGACTGGCGTGCAGGTGCTGGAGCAGAGGAGGCTGGTTTCAGTCCAGATCCCTGCCAGTCTCTCAAGTGTGGAGCTGCGCAGATGCTCTGCCTCCTTTCAAGCCCCCATGAAGGTGAGCGGCAAAGTTCCTGCGCTGTCTGGCACCTCCCCATCTGGGTAGGAAAGACTGGAGGCCCAGTCTCACTCAGGCAGCATCTTACTCCCAGCCAAACGGGTGGCAGAAGATCAAGATGGCAGCCAAGGTGACCTTGAAGTCTCTCAGATCTCGTCTGCTGTCAAACCATCGCCAACAAGGACCCCAACCTAGTTCCGGTCCAGCCAGCATGCAAGGTCTCTGGCCTGATCCAGGGGCAACCAAGACCTCCAACATCAAGCTGGCAACTGCCCCTTGGGCCTTGGGAGGGAGGGAGACCATGCAGTGGGGGCTGAGAGGCTCCTAGCTTTGTGACTCCAGAAAAGGGCAGCTCCAAATTTAAAAGCTGCTGCACAGAAGGTGTAGACCCCCGGCAGATCCGCAACCTGGCCAGCTTCCCAGGGGAACAACGCTGAACGGCATGGATCAGCGTGGAACAGCTTCGTTCTGCTCCTCAGCCCAAAGTGGAGTGTCCTGACACACCAGTCGGAGATCTACACGAACCCAAGCTCTCATAGCCTTAAGACACAGCAGGGCTATTAGGAAGCCCCCTTGGCAGCTCACCCAAGAAGAGGAGGAGGAAAGGAACAATGCCTGCGAGGCCTCAAAAATGTGGGACCCAAATAAACCTTGCAGGGAGGCTGCGGTGCTCACAACTGCATTCAGAGGAGGGGATCCCAAAGGGGGAGACAGACCATCCTGTGATCAGCCGCGCTGCTCTCGCAGATGGCAGCTGGCACGTTCAACAGAGGCGGGGGGGATTCTTGTTTCCCTTGGACATAGTCCCCACCCCTCCCCGGTGCCCCCTACTAACCGAAGCAAGCGAAGGCATGGCAACAGCAGCAGAGAGAGAGGGCCATGTTCCCCAGGAGAAGTCGCTTGTCCCAGAAAAAGAAACGCTCCGGCGGGGACAGCGGGACAAGCTGTCCTCCAGAGCATCCACGCACCTGCGGGTGTCTCCGCTGCCTTGGCAGGCCCGTCGCTCACAGCAGATTCTTGCACAGACGCCTTCTGGGAAAGGACAGTTGCCAGCAGCTGAGAAATTGGGGGAGGAACATCAAGAAACCGTTAATCAGAAAAGGGCAGCAGGCTGGGGGGGGGGGGGGGGAGTAGAAAAACAGGGACTCAGAAAGCCTGGAGCGAGCAGAGGGAGAATCAGGTGCTTTTCTCCCAGAACTGTGATTCAGCTGGCAAAGTGGTAAGCTGGAGCACAGAGAGGAATCAGGTGGCACAATGGCGCTGGCTGCTTGGCATTCGTGGCTGCAGCCAAGCCAGCTCGAGAAACGAATGCTGGTGCAGGCGGGCCCGCAAAAGAGTGATTCGGGAGCAGGGAGCCAGCAGCCTGCCCCTCCTCCTGGCCCAGTTTCCCCAGGAAAGGAAGGAGCCACTGGGTCACTTGCCAAGCTCACGGGCACTGGAAGCGATGTGCAATCAAAGCTGTAGCCACAAGGGGGCAGTGCACGACCAAGCGCCAGCCAGGATGGGCGGTGGGCCATCTGGGGAGTTGCGAGGAGACCCTGCTCGCAGGTCTGATGGCTCAAGACCTAGCAAACCCCAAAGCGGCTCTGAGGCCCGTGCTTCCGGGACCAGCCCTTTCGGGAGTAGAGACTGTGCTCTGGCTTACCTTCACACCTTCGGAGCTCGGGTGAAGGGCCGCATGGCCACCACTTCCAGTGCTTTGGCCGCTCCCTGAGCTCCGCCCACTGGCCACGCTTCCAGTGCTCCCCACGCTGCTGCGGTCGCCACCTAGCAAGGGGGGAAAAGACGGTTCGCAGGACAAAGCGAGGAAGGGCGCTTTGCTCAGGGACTGGCAACCCGCCGCCAAGGGCCACACGTGGTCCCAAATGCCTGTTTTCTGGCCGCTGCTATCGTGCTACTGAAATTCAAGGCAAGCGCCAAATAACAGGCGTGCATGTAAAATCGCTGCCCACCCAAAACAGGAAAATGGACCAAAAAATCCCCATTCACAAAACCCCATGAAACCAAACACCAGCGGACAGTCTTGAGCCATTAAATATATTGGGGAGGGAATTCCCCCATCAACTGCTAAAAAAAACCCTCTCCTGGTTTACTGTAGGACGTCTTAAAATGTTCCCTTTTGAGAAAAGCTCCTTTCCGTAAGCAGACATCATTGGAGGAAAGCTGGGTGTGTAGCAAAAAGCCAGAAGGAACCTGGCAGCACTTTTCCCAACGCACAGATTTTATTCAAAGGCAGACGCTCTGGTGAGCTGCGACGCCTCCTGGCTTTTCCCTTAAGTAGGGAGAAGACGCGTCCTTGGTGTCTTGGGGCCCTGACGTGCCATCCATCCCCTTTGTAGGGTCCCAGGTTGGAGAGAGCCGTGCTAAAGCCAGGGGTTGGGACTTGCCCCCCAAAGAGAAGAAAGGCCTCTCTAATCTTCAGTTTCGCCTCCTTGGGGAATGGCCAGTACGACATTCCTCCATGGCACACGCCACCCTTGCACAGCGAGATTTACTCTCCCCACCAGCCAGCCGCGACAGAAATTCACCGCACTGCCTACCATCAGGTGAAGGCGCTCCCATGCCCCAAATTGCACCACCCAATTCAGCGTTTTTCACCCTTGGCCACTTGGAGATGTGTGGACTTCAACTCCCAGAATTCCCCAGCCAGCATG